AAATTTATAGGATCTGACAGCCCTATTCCCTGTCATATTACATGCTCAAATCTGGTTTGTTTTCCTATTAGTCACAGCTGGGATTTAAAAAAAATAAAATCCCATTTATATATGTAGCAAAAAAAAAAAAAAAAAAAAAAAAAAAGCTGCCATACTTAATTTTTTTTAAAATATATATATATATATTAATAAACAGCTTTTCTATTCCTTAAAGCAGTGGAAGAAAGCAGTTCTGTCTGTTCAAATATGCAGCTTACTCTCATTGATCCTCACAGAACAGCTATTGACTCTTTCCTAATCAAGTCACAACATTAAACAGGTTCTGGCACCTTTCAAGCTTTTAAGCTCCGTGAAGAACTCAATAATATCTTTTAGCTCCCCACCCCTCAAAAAATCAACTAATGGTAAAACTATTGTTTTAGCTCTACACCTTGTGCTGATAGCAAGGTAAATTTGCAGTTTTGAAACTGATTTTAGTTGTTTAATAACAACAGTAATAATAAACCTATGAACAGAAGGTGACTATCATGGCTGAGCCAGTTGTAACAGAGAAGGTGACCTGAAGAGGAAAAGTTATAAAACGCACTGGTGGCTTCTGTCTGCCACCAGTGATGGCTTCTGATGGCCATTAGCAGCTGTCTCGTGTCGGTTCTTCCCCTGCCTTCTTCCTCTCCACTTTCTTCCACCTTGCAGCCCTGCCCTTCTGATTGACCTTTTTTTGCTCATCTCTCAGATCAAGTAATATATTATATTTCACCTCAAATGCTTACATACTAGAGTTGAAGGGCTCACACTGACCTTATCCAAGTAGCACGTCTTGTTTCATGTTCATTCTGTCTCCTTTTATTCAGGCTACCGCCTCTTACTATACATATATACCTTAGCACCCTCCTTCATAATAAGGGGAAAAAATCTTAGCAACCATCTTTTTTCCTAATATATACTTAGCTTCTTTTCTTCTTTTTTGTTGTAAGATACCCAATTCTGCTGCTCAAAAGTATCTCATAGATGTCTTTAATGACTATTTTTTTTGTTACATAAGAAGGTTTCTACTTGAAATTCAACCTCCTTAAAAAGACAAAAAGCAGCATTACTCAGACTTTTGTAAAATATGTTCTTCCTGACTCTCTGCTGCTTTCCTTTATCATTGGCTACACTTTCAGTAGTCCCTTTGTCATATTCTCCTTTTAACTTTTCTACTTTTCTTGGGTGCCAGCTTTCCTCACAGCCCCTCATCAAGAAGCGTATCTATAGGCCACAGTCTGCTGCAGTAATTAGATCCTCAGCACGATCAGATCACAAACTCTTCTCTTAGGTACCGAAGCTGCTCTACTGACTAGCAATGCTCAGAACAACTCCACCTTAGAAAGCTGTCCTCTGATGCTTTTCAGCTCTTCCACATTTTTTGCTTCCCCTTCTCATTCCAACCTCTTTACTCCTAGGAGCTGGGTCCCATTTAATCTGTATCCTCTCACCTGGCTCATTGCAGTGAGGCTCATGGGGGACATACAAGTCAGTACATCAGTACATCAAAGCACTTCCCAGTACAATGCCTTTAGTCTTATCTTTTAGGTAGGGCCACCTTTTGGCAATAGATAATCACAGCATTCCATCTCTTCTCAAACACTAAAAAATCTAATTTGGGCCAAACTTACATTTCAGCTGCTTTTATGAATCCTTTTCTACTGTCCAGCTATCAGGGGAACTATTTGGCAGTAATTTTGAAATGACTCTTGCTTCCAAACCTGTTCACTTCTCTTCTTGCCTTCCTTTTACTTTTTGAAACTTGCATTTACTTGTCATTTTGGACCACCTTTCTTATTCACACTCACTACTCATATTTTGTTGAAAAATTGACATTTCTCCCTTTAGTCCAACACAGAAGTGACCTTTTCCCTCTGTCCATAGGACCAATATGCTCCTCCTGTGTGTTGCCTGTATGCCTGCACACTTCCTCTCCTCACTGCACAGAAAGAGCTGGTGTGAATATGTGATTTACTGGACCGTGTCCAACCTCTTTCAATCTATCTATTGACTATCCCTCTCTTAAAACATCCCTTTGTTCTTTCATTTATGGTTCTACATGACTGCTTTTCCCATTTATCTTGCCTTGCCCTTGTGTCCTTTTGTAACAAGGTGTTGTGCCCTCTGAGACTGTTGTCTTCTCTAGTGTAACAGCCTCTGTTTCTGCTTCCCTTTCCTTTTTGCACAGAATGCTATTCTTGAGCTTGTTTGCTCAGCAACCTCGCTCCCTTTTTCAATTTCCTCTTAAGGAGCTAATTTTCCCATGATAGTCACAATAAAGAAGGTATCTAATAAAGGCCAAGTAGAAGGACATTTACACTGATAAGTAGTAATGCTTCAGTATGGAAGTGACTCATTTCAATTATTTTTTTTTTCTTATTGGTCGAAGCAATCAAATACACACACACAGAGCATTGTTATCTCTTGGTATAAGTCACTTGAAACCACACCTTACAGTTTGGTCTGCGTTACACAGGGTTGCTGACGTAGTGATATGAGCATGAGAAAATACACTCCCTAGCTTACACAGCTTTATCAGTAAATCTTTCTGGCATGAACACAGTTAAGTTATCATGGTAGTGCTTTCTCAGCTTGATTTTATTCAGAATCGCTCTATGCTTTCCCATATGTCATCAGAAAAGCTTTTTCAAACATACACTGCACCTCCACAGAAAAGTCTCCTTGTATATATAAACACAACAGCTATATCAGCTCCTAACCATTGACAGATCTCTCCTAGAAATACAATAAAGAACTTAACTGCAAATTATAATCCTGAAGTGGGGCCAAAAATTTAAAAAGGAGCACTGCTTAAATACAAGCTCAGGCTTCCAAGTAATGTACAGTTGTGAGCTTACCTTCTTCCAGTTCTTATGTTCTTTCCAAGGACATACTCATTGCAGTCATATCACCTTAAGTGATAGACAATAACTGTAAATATGCTGGCTGATGAGGTCTTGAAAGGTTTCTCCTTTCATATTTTCTCCATCTTCAGAGCTGTGACAACACAGGTTTGTGTCAGGGATAGAAACACCTGATAAGAAAAAGAAATATAAAAGTGAATGAAAATCTAATAAAAATAGCGTTCTTTTCTTTTTGAAGGTCAGCAACAAAGAGGGTTCAGACCAACTCTGAATTACTTCAGTCCCAGGAAGGGTCTAGACTGGCAGACTCCCCACAGCAACCCTGACAGAGAATCTGTCAAGATAAACTTCCTAATCTTCGCTTACCATTGCAACTCCGTTTGAAGGTTGGTATCATCTGGACTACTCATTAGGAAAATAAAAAAAAAATCAGTGCAATAGTTCTAAGTTTCTAGTGTAAAATTCTGCACCACACTGAAAAAGTAGATTCAGCTTAAGATACACTGAAAATAATGAAAAATAAATAATACTGTGAACCTTGTACTGACTTGACTATGCAATTCAATAACTCCTTTTAAAACAGGAAGTTCCATGTGGCTGCACTGGATTTACGTAGAAGTTTGGCAGCTTTGGCTCAGAACTCGCATCAAGTTTTACAAAGAGTACAGCTGGCCAAGGCTTAAATAAAACGACAAAAACATAGTCTCAACAATATATTATAGCTAATGATGGTTACTTAGCTAATGATGTCTTTGATGGATACATCGCTGTTTTAATTTCACTGACACAATCAAAAGTAGCTCTTCCTTGTACACTGACAACAATGGGTCTAATTTAAACTTAACTAGCTAGGACCAAGCAACAATTCATTTGTGAGCGTACATAGAGGTTTTTACCTTACCTAATGGGTGTACTTCATCCTTCATTACACTTGTAGTGTATCCTGTTCAAAGCTGCTGATTCTTGAAGTCCCAACATACTACAAAATAATCATATTTTCATAATCTGTAAAAGTGATCCCAGTTAGAGGACACAAATAAAGAAGGTATAAGAATAAGATATCCATATTCGGGTAGCACTGAAATTTCTGGGACGTGCAACCTTCACTTGTGGAACATGATCTCCAAGGTGTCCCCAAGAAACAGGCTTCAGCTCTGTCATTTCTTACACTCTAATTGTCAAGTCCCAAAGCAGCCAGAAAACTTCACTCATTGTTTTTCATTCTTCTACGAAACTTGCTATTGAAATATAGTGTAATGGGCAAGTATTGGGTTACAGAACTGCTCTTGCACTGCACACCGGGCTGGGGTTGACTGTGCCCAAATGTCCACAGGCACTGACATATTCACTGAGGCTAGCATCAGAGTGCATTAAAAATAAGAAAGGAAAAGGAAAAGGAAAAGGAAAAGGAAAAGGAAAAGGAAAAGGAAAAGGAAAAGGAAAAGGAAAAGGAAAAGGAAAAGGAAAAGGAAAAGGAAAAGGAAAAGGAAAAGGAAAAGGAAAAGGAAAAGGAAAAGGAAATCCTCAGCAAATCAGAATTTAATTTCTTAGACCCTATTCCACTGTAGGAAGGGGTCTGCTCAGTCTGCAGAGAAGTGGATGCCTAAAGATTGCTGAGATAATTAAAAAACTGTTCCATCTTGTTCCATCCACATCAAATAAACAGAAAGAAGGGATACAGCCCAAGACCTGGTATTTAAGGTACTTTAAGGCCACTAAGATGGGCAACGAGGCTCGGACACAGTCGCCTACAGCGAGTGCCGGATGGGTCCCCGCCATTAGAGCAGGCTCGGCTCGGCTCGGCTCGGCTCGGCTCGGCCTCGGCTCGGCCTCGGCTCGGCTCGGCCCCGCCCCGCCCCGCCTCCCTCCGCGGCGGCTGCTAATCGCCATTGGGCGGGCGCGACGCACCCAGCAGTACTCGCACTTCTGGTTGGCTGGCGGCGCGTGGCAGCCTCGCCGGGCGAATGAGCAACGCGGTTGTTGCCCAGCCCCAAGATGGCGGCGCACTGTGCCGTCGCGGTGTACGGCAGTGGCGGGGAGTGAGCGCCGGGGCCGCGGGCCGGGCCGCACCGCGCCGCCGGGCGGGGTGGGGGGGATGAGGTGACGGCCGCCATGGCGAGCGACGCGGGCAGGAAGCAGTTCTGGAAGCGGAGCGGCGCGAAGGTGCCGGGCAGGTGAGCGGGGACCCGCGGTGCGCGGGGCTCCGGGGCGCGGGGGGCCCGGCCCGGCCCGGCCGGCTGCGCGGCCAGCGGCTCGGCGGGTGCAGGGGCTGTCACGGGCTCTGTGGGCGCTGCCGGGCGAGGCCCTGCGGAGGCTCCGCAAAGTCCTGCGCGGGGGTGGCGGAGCGGCCGGGACAGCAAGCGCAGGCCGGAGCGGAAAAGTAACAGAAACTGCTGTGTTAATGAAGAGCAAAAACCGCCGCTGCTCCACTGTCCTGCCCCTGTCTGCTCCATGTAGTCGGATTTCCGTGTGTGTGCCCCTTTGGAAGTGCGCTTTATGTCGGTGCTGTGAGGCAGAGCTGGAGAAGACTGAGGAACTTCCAAGTGACAAATGGAGAGCGATGGCCCTTGAGCGGATTCCCTTCAATCTGGAGCGGCAAGAGCCTCTTCCCCCGTTCATACCCTGCGGTGGGCAAAGGCAGCCCCGTCACAGCGCGCCTTTCCAGGGAAGCCTTTCCAGCTGGTGGGGATAACTAGGGACTTGAAGAAGTAGGACGTGTTGGTGCCAATGAGCTGTGAAAAGCGCCCAAAGGCACTTGGCAGCGGAGGCCCTTCAGTCCCGTGGGAAGAATGGCAGTGGATGGACCCCTTGGTTTGTATGGGATCGCACACAGGCGAAGGGATATGGACCTCGGTCGCCTCTGTGTGAATTCGGAACTGTCTTAAATTCAAACCTGGGTCTCTCTTGAGATTTGTTATGGCTGCACTTTTGTGGTTTGATTCCATCTCAGTTTACGAAGACTGGATCAGTTTATGTTTAGGGTCTTGAGATCGCTTTTGTATTACCGGTGAGATCCTGCTTATTTACTTGTGTTTGTTTTTAGTACAGCTTTTGGTAGACTTTATAGACTTGCACATAAGTTATATTGCAACAGGAGAAATTTATACAAATTAACTCTATCATGGTATTTCTTTTTGTATTATAAAACTAAATATCTTTTTTTTCTCCATGTTCTTTTGTCTTAAATAGTTTGTAACTGGAGCCTATAAGGAAGTTAACTTCTATGTTGAAGAGATTGTTTTGTTTCCAACATGGTGATATGCATTTTTATAATACTGAGATTGTAGTAAATGAAGCTGTAGTTACCAGCTTAGTCATTTCAAAGTGCTTTTCAAGAACAGTACAGGTTCTTATTGTGGAGTTAACTATTTTCTTGTTTTAATTGTTTTTGTGATAACTCTCTCTCTTTTCTCTTAGTATCCAACATGTGTATGGAGCTCAACATCCACCTTTTGATCCATTATTACATGGAAGGTAAGTTATCGTAATATTCAAATATCCACGGTAATTTGTTTATCCTCTAGCTTCTCTCCTCCTTTTCTTCCCTGTTGTGTAAAAAGCTACTGTTAATCTTCCCAGTTTTTGTCAGAAACTTGACTTCTCTGTGCTACCTTCTTGTTTTTGACTTCCTGATTCTTGTTTCTTGAGAGTAGCAAATAAGCTGTTCAGTCTTTTTCCTGACAAAGATTGTGAATGTTTGTTGTCGGCTTGCAGTGCCCTATAAATTATGACTGTATGGTACATGCTAATCTCAATTTAACAGATGAAGTTAACACTTCAGGTGTAAGCTGCTTTCCTGAATGCATCTCCTTGTTGATGGGCTGCTTATTTCTTTTTCTGTCTTTAAAAGAAAGTTGTTAAGAAGCAGTCCTGAAGTGATTTTCATTATATTATGCTCCCATTTGCCTCAAAATGATGTATTTTGCTGGTGAGTGAGAAGATTGTAGGGGATAGGAGAGATTTTGAAGTAATTTGAAAGCGCCTTGTCTCAAATTATGATTATTCGATTCATGGGTGTTATCAGAACACACATGAAAATGGCAAACATAAAATTAATGCAACTGAATAATTTTAATCTCCTTACTGCTGAGATAACTAACAAAATGAATTACAGCATTCTGACAGCTTCTCTTTTTTAAAAATTTTGCTTTTTTATCTTTTTGAAAAGTGCTTGCTATGACTTTGTCAGGAATAAAGTTGTTTCTGACTTGGTACATTGCACAGCTCTTTTAAAAACATCATTACTGTTAAAATAGTGATGAAAGAATTTTGGCGAAAAAATTGTACAGCTGGTGAATGAATGGTAATTCATAAAGACAATGAGGAAAAGCAAAGTTAGAAGGAAAAATAATAGCTTGGATGTGGTACTTCCTTTAGAGTCTGTCAGGAGCTAGTTTGCAAAGTTGCAGGAAATATCAAATGTACAATTAAACTGAGAGACTCAGTAACAAAACCGGAAGCCTCATTGCTTGAAATGATGGCAGAAGAGGAGAAAAACTTACTGTTTTGTGTGATAATAACAAGTCAGGGAAGGAGGTGAATGTTGTAGGACCTCTTGAGAAAGCAGGTCCTTGGAACATGCAACAGTAACGTTTCTAACTTTGTATCAGGACCTTGTAAAAACTTTGTTTCTGGTGCCTCTATCTGCCAGTGATGTTGCCTGGTGTGTTTTTTTAACAGAAAAATATTGTGGGTGAAAAGAAGGGCTGACCATAAAGGATGACTGAGTGAATGGCAGTTTGTGTTATTTATTTATTTTATTTATAGTGGAGCTGATTCAGCTGAATGCCTTATTTAGCTGAAGATTGAAAGGAGATGTGAGAGCTTTTTATTTTTATTACTGTAAAAGGCAACGAGTGCCAAGCTAAGGAGGGATGCTCAGTTCATCTGTTCACACACTATGTCTTGTTACAGGGACACGGGGTTCTGAGCCTGTCAGAGCACATTTAACCTAGTAACTGGCGGAAATATTCTGGTTATAAGAAGAATAAAGTTCTGAAGCAGATTCTTGCTAGGAAGCCTGAGTGGGGAGGACTGACAGATTAAATGACTTTTGAAATGGAACTTGATGCCTGACAGCGACTGTATTACATGATTACTTGGGGCTAGGCTTAATGGTTTGATTGCTGCTCCTGTGTTGTTACCAGTTGCTCTGAAAGACTGAAACCTTTATAGGAGTTCATGAAGTAAAATCCAAAAATGTGTGCTTTTTATGTTATAAATTATTCACATAATATTCTTTTTATTTGATTTTTTTTTCAAATTTTCTAATATATGCTGTTGTGGTTGGAAGCAGGAGCAGTATTCATGTAAAGAGCTGAGTAGCTGGTACCTACAGAATGTCAAACCAAGATATTTCTGTTTATTTAGCCTATTCTCATATGTCTCTTACTCCACTACCAGTTTGTTCTTTCTTTCTTTTTGAACAGCTTGATAAAAACAGGCTCAAAACCACCTACCACTCCAGTGAAACTAAAGAAAGTCAGCACCTTCCAAGAATTTGAAAGTAACACAAGTGATGCTTGGGATCTTGGGGATGATGATGATGAACTCTTAGCAATAGCTGCTGAAAACTTAAATACTGAAGTGGTCATGGAAACAGCTCACAAAGTAATTGAGAATCACAGCAAATTACAAGAACAGCATAAATTGCAGGAGGAACAACTGCATGAAACAAAACAAATAGAATCTTTGGAACTGTCTTCAGTTGCATATGGTGATAACCGGCTTGTTAAATCAGTCAGTGAAGGCCATACATCAAGTTCACCAGGTATGTTAAAAAGTGAAAGAGATGTTTAAAATCAAATTAGGGAGTTATACTTTCCCTTTAGGGAATTAACACATTCCTAACCTTGTCTTAATTTTACCATCAATATTTTCTTCTTTTATTAATTTGAGGGAAATGATGCATGTCATACCAAACTTTAAATTATCTCTGTGAGAAATGCTGAATGGAAATGAGAAAAAAAAAATCCATTTTTACCACATCTTTAGCTTGCAGATTAAGTTGAACTATTGAATGTATTTTAATCAAAATCTATGCAATTAACAGTAGTTTTAAAATATTTGTACAGTTGTGGGAAACTGACTGTGCTTGTCAAACAACTATTGCCAATCTTAGTTGAAGACACGTGTTGCTCAAAACTTGAGCTATACTAAAGATATTTTTCTTCTCCAAAATATATGTAAATTCACTGAATCAGAATAAACTCAAGTTATTAGTAACCTCCTTCCTGCCTGAGGCTCACCTGTGCTGCTTTTTCCCTTCAGATAATGCCAGTGAAAATTCTTCCATGCAGAGATCACAGTCCCTTCCACAAACTTCCACTCCTCCCTTGGTGAGCGGAATAGCAGATCATAGCACCTCAGTTACTTCTGCATTAACAGAAAGAGAAGCATCTCGATTAGACAAATTTAAGCAGCTACTGGCTGGCCCTAACACAAATCTTGGTGAGTATCTATGAATCATCTAAGGTTTGAATTCAGTCCCAATAAATATGTTGTCTCTTTCAAACATTGTTATTTGACATGCTGTTTTGCCTAACGGTTTAGTTAAAATATAGTTCCTTCAACATGTAGAATTTACTTTGTAAAAGAAGGGCAAAATATGCCTGATTGCTTTATTTATGCTTGCAGGATGCAATTTGCATATTTTAATGCAATATGCATCTTATTAATGAATGCTTTGTTTGACCTAGACATTACATGTTCTGTCACTTCTCACATTATTTCTTTCTACTGATCTAACCTCTGGAGAAAAAAAACAAAGCAGAACTAGCTGAATTTAGTGTTATTGTCTGATAATGGGACAGTGTGCTGTATAAGAGTGAGTTTTATGCTTAAAATTGAATGCAAAAATGAGTTGGCATTGAAATATTGCTACCTGTCTGCGCAGTGAGCAGTCTTCACGTTCCTGAGCTGTTACAGTAGTTAGATGTAATCTGTGAATGCTGACAGGGTGTTTGTGTGAAAACTTTATTGTCAGATAACAAACTGTTCTTTTGTACGTATGTTTTAACTTCTGAAAGCTAAATATAAATTAGTGCTGATCTGATAATTCTTTGATTAAAAATGGCTCCTGGAGTGTGAAAAATGAGCACTGCAGGGTTTGACTGCTCTCAGCTCTCAGTGCTTAAGGTGCAGCTACTTGTTCTGAGAGGCTATCACAGAATCAAGTGGTCTTGCAGCCCAAGTGAGAATCTGGAGAGCCTAGGAACAGCACACGGTATTTGGATAAGTTGTTTTCTCACTTAGAAGTAGAAATTTATGTCAAAGTAATTCAGAGCCATCTTATTTATTAATTATACCATTCTGGAAGATATCTACAGGAAATGCTTGTGGTAAGAAGTAGAAACTGCTGAATGTTTGTAGTTCTTGAAGTGATTGACACTTCTCTCTGGCAGTTGTCATGGGCCTTCTTCAATGCAATGATAGCAGTTGTGTTTTGTTTGTTTGTTTTTGTGTGTTTTCTTTGGAAACACTACTTATATATAACTATACCAGGTTTAGTGTGAATTAGAGGACATTCTGATAAAGCAGAACTCTGGATAAAACATGAGGTGTTTAAAAATTACATGTTTTGTATAGGCTTAATTGTAAAAAAAAATCACCTTTGCTTTGTGATCTGACAAATATTATCAGGTGATGTTAAAATACAAATTAAAGTTAGTTTTTTTATTTTAATTTATTTTTTGAACAGGCTGTTGTTGTGGTAGAAGTTTAGTTACAGAGGTTCAGAGCTACAATAAGTTTAAATCTGTCCATTTGACTTTTACTACCTTCTTAGATAGAAATACTTTACCACCCAGTAAAATTTAAAGATAAAAGTATAATGTTTTGGAATGGAGAAAAGGAAAATTTGCACTGTTCTTAGGACTCCAACTTCTTGTTGAAGTGCTTGCCACAAAATAATGCCTTTCCTATAACTCCTCAGTGATTCTCTTGCTATCCAATCTTAAATTAGTGCAGGGTTTGATGCTTCCTGTGAATTATAATCTTAAGTCCATTTTTAAATTTTTGATGCACGTGCTTTGGCTTTTGGCTGCAGCTAGGATATTTCTAATAGCTTTTCCCAACAAGGATGTAATGATATATAGTCATATTTTATATGATCTTTCTTAGCTTAAAATAAGCTATTTACTACACACAAATTCTCTATGATCGTCATAGAGCTATACTTGATGGTTGTGCATGGGTGATATATTTATGTGTGGGTGAAGGTGAGATAGAGGTGTGAATGTGTGTTTATGGGCATATTTGCACACACAGACAGACATTCATATGCACCTGTGTGTATGTATATATAGTTATATACATATATACATATGCATGTGACCATGTGTGCAGTTCATCAAAATCTGGTGTGCCCTCATTTTTGTGTATTAATTTTTTGAGGGAGATTTTTTTTAGCTCCATGCTACAATAAAGATGATCTTTTTAAACTGAAAAACCCTTTATACAATATTAGCAGTCTGAGAAATGATAATTTCTTGTTCTGAAAATGCCAAAAATGAGTTAAGGTGGAGCTAGATATGAGGCTCCAAGACAAGATCTGGGGTTAGTGGGAAGGTAAGAGGCAGCTGTGGCTCTGTGTGTGTGTGTGGTGCTCAGCTGTGTGGGGCGCTCTGTTTTGTGATGCATCCACAGACTGTTGGGTTCTGTTTGTCACAATGGTCAGAATCAGCGGGCAGTCAGCTCGAAGCCAAAATTTCTATTCATTTCTGGATCTTACGTAGTCATGTTGACTGTGCTTGCCAGATAGTAGCAGTAACAGCATCAGAGCATTCCTGCTTACTTTGTTTTCTTGAGATAAATTTCTGTATTGTTGAAAGAGACTTTATGCCAGGTCCCTCCAGAGCAATACAAAAAAAAGCAGTTAATAAGCTGTGGAACTGAAAGAATGACATGCACATTTTTAACTTGAGGCTTTTCTCTTATCAAATTGGGGAAAATCAGCGTAGACTAAGAACGCAGGCTAGTACAGCTGACCTTGAAATCCTTCCAGTAGCACTTTAACCGCCAGCCAATATGTTGTAAAATGCAATGTTTGCCTTTTATGTTAGCTAGAGAGGGTGAAAGAGCGTGTTCTCTTTCATCAGAAAACTTAGGACTTCTCAAAAACATGGACTATGCACATAAACTGAGAAGTGCAGTTTGTGGATAGACTTGAATGTCTGCAGCAGATTTTTGAGTCTGGCTTTGGTCTGTAGGTTGGATATGGTGAAGTTGTAGAAAAAAAGTAAATTCCATCAACCCCAACAATTTCACAGTGAATGAAATAATGTACCAAAAATAGACTGTAGTCAGGATTCGAATCCTCTGGTAGTTACTAGGTTAAGTGTGCAGTAACAGTGCCCTTCTCCATGCTTCTGTATGTAGTTTTATCCAGTAGGTGCTTACGTACACAAATAGGTAGGAGAGTGGGACACGCTTAGAGATGAGGAGAAAGAAAGAATATGAACTAGAAAAGGAAGAAAAAAGCCAAGAACTGTTAGCAACTGATGTATCTTCCCCTGTGCTCATTTGAATACATCTCTTAGAAATTAAAAAAATTAATTTGTTTACTTAACTCTTGCCTGTGAATAAAGTGCCTATGTTTGTGACTCTAAAGTGCCCGTGACTGATTTTTTAATATATATTTTGTACAGTTGAACTAATAAACTCACTCTTGTAATTTCTAATTGCCTTTGTAGTTGTTTTGATTCCTCCTAATCCACTTTTCGACTCTGTCCCGCAGGCATCTTGTTGTTTGCATGCTAAGTGGATGCAAATAATACATCTTATTTCCTGTTAGCACTTTGTATTTCTCTGTTGCTGTGTGGTTATTACCTCGTGTAAATGGGAAAGGGCAATGTAAATCGAGCATAAAAAGGAGCTTGCTATATGAAAAAAACATTCAAAGTAGGGAAGAAAACCTCCAGTTTCTATAGAAATGATACTTCCAGATATGTTTCATGCCACAGGAGAGAGATATTCAAAAATCCTACCAATAAACCACCTGATATTAGTATGATATGAAGAATGGGAAGATAATCTCATAAAATTAGAATTAGGAAAAGAAATTTGCAGTGCGAGTTGAATCTTGTTGTAGCAGAACATATGCCCTGGTAGAAAGGACCTGATGTAAGAAGCAGTGTTAGTTAGAGAAGGATTTGGGCCAAGCCCATGTCGAGCAGGCCGCGCTGAAGTGCAATGGATGCAGATTCTGGAAGAAGGATCCATCTGGAGACAGCAGGACGGTGGTGGCTGGTGGACAACTCCCGAGCAGGCTCAGGGCCTGCGTAGCGTGGACACTTGGGCTTCTTGGGCTTCCTTGGGCTTCTCCTTGCCTTGCAGGGACTTCCATGCAGATGTACAGCAGTGCTCAGGCCTTGGGCTCCAGGAACTGCTGACCAGAGGATGGGCTCTTCTTTGTTTGGTTGCCAGGATTTTTTGCAAGATTCCTCTAAAAGGAGGAATAAGACTTTAACAGAAGAGCTTTGGGAAGCTATTTTTGGGAGAAACTTTCTCTAATTCCTTTGTTCAGCTGGCTACTGTTTACGTATAGAAGAGGGACTGTGCCTGTCTTCATTCCAATTTAGGTTTGGTTCTATAAAATTTGTTGGACATCTATCTTGCACTAGCAGTCTTGCACTAGGGTTTAGAGAGTGGTATTTGCAACATGTCTTTTAAGATATTCTGTTATTTAAATCTCAAAATGACTTTTCACAGTGTATTCCAGTCTAAAACATATAGCATTTTTGGCATACTACCTTGATAAAATAGTGCTATAAATGCACCCGTGAAAATGGTAAATTTGATAGTTGTAAAAGGTACTAATATTACTGTATCCTATATTCACCATAGAAAGTTCTCTCTGCCCATTGTCAAGCCGTATATGCTTTTTTACTAACTCAAACCAAACTGGTGAACTGAAAACAACTGTTTGCAGAGAGCACCATGTACCTCTGACTGTGGTGCCCTTTCTTCCAGCCAGTCATTTTTTGTTGTAGCAGCTACCAGTGTGAAGACTTACGTAACATATAAAGAATAGCTGAATCTTTGATTAATCTAATAATAAGAATTAATGCCTTAACTTCACGGGAATTTTGTCAAAGGGTCTAATCTCAGGTTAGTCTATAACAGTAGCCAGTTGCCTCCTTTTACTATAGTAGAAGAATATGAACGGCTCTTTAGGTAGGAGGAAAACTAGCAGATGAGTCTTGTTTCCATTACAGTGGTCATCTCTATTATTGAAGCCATTTGAAAAGTAGATATTCCATCTTTTTGGGTGCTTACAATTGTTTACATGTTCTAAGATCTATATTAAACCTGGTTGAACACAGCAATTATTCCTTTCTTTTATGGGTCAAAATTGATGAGAGTTATCTGTTATGCCCTTTAACTTTTCATCAAACTGATGTTATTGAAAAGATTCAGTAACTTTGTAAAATATATTAATTGAAATGAGT